ACCCGTCCTCCTCGACTTGCCTCAGACAGCTGTTTAGATTTGCCCTTCGGGCACAGTCAGAGGCCACCTGCCCCACGGACCATCTGGAGTCTGATTTGTGGGGAACAGAATCAAAGAGGGCTCAAAGGAAACATAACCTAAGAGAAGCCCCGCTGGTTCAGGCCAGTGGCCCCTCCGGTCCAACACTCTGTGTCACACAGGGGCCAAAACCCAGGGGTCTTCAGGAGGCCAACCGGCGGGGCCAGAACTCCAGAAGCCCCCCCCCCAGTGTTGTCCCCCCAAGCCCCAAGAACCCAACGCATCACGCCCCCAATCCCCCCAAGCACCAAGAAGCCAGAGCATCACTGCCCCAGACATAAGAACGTAAGAGAAACCATGTTGGATGAGGCCAGTGGCCCCTCCAGTCCAGCACTGTGTCACACAGTGGCCAAAAACCAGGGGCCACCAGGAGGCCCATCAGCAGGGCCAGAACTCCAGGAGCCATCCCACTGTGGCCTCCCCAAACACCAAGAAGTATCTGTCAGGCTCCTCAATCAGGTCACACCACTCAGGGCTTCATGAGAAGATAACTGTTTATTAGTATTTCCAGTATTAAAGAACACGTGTACAGATTGTGTCAGAAATGACCGTCAGTATAAGGGCCTCTGACTTATAGTAAAAACTAACATCCCCCTCCCCATGAGCACAAGCCAATGATTATAGTTCGCGCGGGCAGGACAAGCACAAAAGCCGTTAAGTTTCCCAGCCGAGTTAATTGCAGCTGGAGACAGCAAGGTCAAGCATGAGATAGCGCACAGAAGCAGGACAGGGAAGGGCTGAGAAGGAGGAGCTCCACATTCAGGGAAGAACTCCACATTCCGGATCTATGACAGGGCTACCTGACAGTATCCCTCCAAGCTGAAGAGACCTAACAGAATAGCTGTTACAGCATATCCTTCCCTTTGTGGCACTTCTGCACCTGAAATGAAGCTCTACCTCCCCTTCCCCCAATCCCTTTGTTTTTTTTAAAGTGGAAGACATTCCACACCAGAGTTCCTAGAAACGCACATGTTGCAGAACTATCTCATAAGTAAACAATGGTTTATATAATGGAACAAAGTTAGAGCGCAGTGGCACCTTTAAGACCAACAAAGTTTTATTCAAGGTGTGCACGCACACGAAAGCTCACACCTTGAATAAAACTTTGTTGGTCCTAAAGGTGCCACTGCACTCTAACTTCGTACCTGTTGCTTCAGACCAACGCTCTGAGGAGGGTTTCTGATGGAAGGGCTCTCGGAACCTCCCACCCCCAAACTCTAAACCTGGCTCCTCTGCAGCCTTGCCGTTCCGGAACACTGTGTACGTAGCCCGATGTTCTGTAAACGTCTCTGAAACATCTGAAGAGTTTCTTGATGTTCTTTGGTGGTAACTGCAATAAGCCATCCGTGTTCCCAAACGGAATTTAAATATTTATCTGCCAGCCATTCCGAGCATCTCAGGACCCAAGGCAGGGAAAATCAGAACAATTTTTTTTTTTTGATAAAACCAATCTTAAAACAGCAGCTATAAAAACCTCGGAAACCAGTCCGAAAACATCTTACGCCCCCACCAGCCCAGACTGCCCCCAAAGCTCTCCAGATTGGCTCTGTTTTGCAACCACGGCCGAAAGCCAGGAGGGTTCAAAGCCCCGCTGGCTATTCCAGAGGCATGGGGAGAGATGTAAAATTTCCAGAATTTTGAAGCTCCACAGAGGCATGGGGAGAGATGTAAAATTTCCGGAATTTTGAAGCTCGGAAAAAACCCCGTTTTTTCCCCATTTTTTTCGGGGGGGGGGAACGGAAATTTTCAGAAAAATTGAAAAAACGCTACATTAGCACTTCTTTTTTTCTTTTCCAGATTGAAAGTCATTCTGTTACTTTAAGGAACATAAAATATGACTATGGACATTTTTACTTGGCATGAAATTATCACAACTAGCATATTAAAAATATAGTGTATCCAAACAATTATTACAAACAGAATACCCACCCACATGCAAAAACAAAACTGAAACCTTTTTATTTTCTTCTGACAATAGCACCTCCTAAAGGAAGAAATGCATCTTGTTCTTGCATTGGAGAGTTCAGTTTGTAACCTAGGACTTGCTTGTCCTCAGTGCACAGAAATTAGATCAATCTGATACCACATATACATATATTTTAGAAATGATTTGGAAAATATTTGAACACCTTGTCTTAAAATATTTTAGTCATCATGTTAAAATAAATGTTCCATAATCTTTTTTTTTTCCTTTTTTCAATTTTTCGGAAAAATCCAAAAAGGCTTCAGGGAAAAAATGGGAGGAAACCGGTTTTCCCCCGAATTTTTCCGGGTTTTTTCTGGGCCTTCACATCTCTAGCCACCACAGACAAGGCTTTGCCCAAACATGGACTTCCACTAGTGAGGTACTGACAGTAGACACTGGTGGAAAGGGGAGCTGCTACATAGGAGTCAATCCAAATGGAAGGGACCTGGCTTGACAGCAGCACCTGTGAAAGGGATCTAGGTGTTCTGGTTGATCACAAGCTAAACATGAGCCTGCAGTGCCATGTGGCTGTGAAGAAAGCTAATGCAATCTTGGGATGCATTAACAGAAGCATTGTGTCCAGATCACGGGAGGTGGTAGTTCTGCTCTATTCTGCTGTGCTCAGGCCTCACCTGGAGAGACTGTGTCCAGTTTTGGGCACCACATTTTAGGAAGGATGTTGACAAGCTCGAGCGTGTCCAGAAGAGGCCAACCAGGATGGTGAGAGGGTTTGAATCCAAGTCTTATGAGGAAAGGCTGAAGGAGTTGGGTCTGTTTAGCCTGGGGAAGAGAAGGCTTCGAGGGGACATGATTGCAGTCTTCAAGTATTTGAAAGGCTGTCATGTAGAAGATGGAGCAGATTTATCCTCTCTTGCTCCGGATTGCAAGACTAGATCTAATGGGTGGAAATGACAAGGGAGTCGTTACCGGCTAAATATCAGGAGAAACGTCCTAACTGTAAGAGTGGTTGAGCAGTGGAACAATCTGCCTCGGGAGGTGGTGGATGCTCCTTCGCTGGACGTTTTCAAGCGGAGGCTGGACGACCATCTTTCGGATATGTTGTAGGGCTCTCTTTCGGCTGTGCTCTTGCAGAGTGCAGGGGGTTGGACTAGATGACCTGCAAGGTCCCTTCCAACTCTAACATTCTATGATTCAAACAACAAGAGGAAAAGACTAGTGTCACAGGAGTCCCCCAAATATACAAATTCCACTAGTAGAAACCACCATCAAAGATTGCCAAAACAATATATTAAAAAATTATAAAGTTGGTGGTGTCACAACAACAACATTAATGCATACTGTCACTATAATAAGGCATAAGATACTAATATTTCCTCCTTTGTAGATAAGACATAAAGTCCACGTAGTCAGTGTAACTTGACAGGAGGACTCCACATAGTCGTAACATTGTCCAAACAGCCTTTGCAAAGACGCCCATTCTAGATACTTGGAAGATCTGTTTCCTTCGACTTCTTCAGTTTGCCGGCTGTGTAAGTGGAACCTGATTTCAGCAATTTCAACAGACCACAAGGTTCATAGTGTAAGAAGCGAATTATAGGTTCTCCAGGCAGGTCCTCCCTAAAGAGCGTCAGTAGTTTGAGGGGCATGGAGATTGGACGAGAGGGTCACACTGAGGTCTCTGCCTGCTTTCGAAGACTCTGAGTCAAAACACGGAGCCCACAAAAGCAGTGGGAGAACCCGGCTGTGGCCCCGGGACTGCCGAGCACGCCCATCTCCACTCTTGACTGGCGTTCCCTCTAAGCTGAGTTAGTGTGAGCCAGCCCACAGTTTTTTTAGCCTCTGGCTCTCACACATTTCTGTCTTAGCTCAGGAAGGATGGCTCCAGAGCAAACTATGCAGTGGCCAAATCGTTCGCTCACAACTTCAATGCCAGGAGCTCGCAAAGTAGACTTTCTGCTCACAAGACTCCTCCGCAGCTTAGAGGGAGCATTGCTCTTGACTGAGCCCTCTTTGCTGGATTTTGGAAACCCAAAGTCCAGCTTGAAAAGGAAGGCTTTCTCATTGGCCGGACTCTCGGGGTTCACTGTCTGTCCCTCCTCTCCCCACAGGGCGCTCTTCGACTACGACAAGACCAAGGACTGTGGCTTCCTCAGCCAGGCCCTGAGCTTCCATTTTGGCGATGTCTTGCATGTGATCGACGCCTCGGATGAGGAGTGGTGGCAGGCGCGACTGGTCCATCCGGACGGGGACAGCGACGAGATCGGCTTCATCCCCAGCAAGAGACGGTAAGGGCGTAAGGGAAGCCACGTTGGATCAGGCCAGTGGTCCATCTAGTCCAGCACTCTGTGCCACGCAGTGGCCAAAATCCAGGTGCCGTCAGGAGGGCAGGCAGCAGGGCCAGAACTCCAGAAGCCCTCCCAATGTGGCCCCCAAAGCACCAAGAAGACAGAGCATCACTGCCCTAGACAGAAAAACATAAGCGAAAAGCCATGTTGGATCAGGCCAATAGCCCCTCCAGTCCAACACTCTGTCACACAGTGGCCAAAAATACCAGGCGCCATCAGGAGGTCCAGCAGTGGGGCCACGACACTAGAAGCCCTCCCGCTGTTGCCCCCCACAAGAACCAAGAATACAGAGCATCCCTTGCCCCAGACATAAGAACATAAGAGAAGCCAATGTTGGATCAGGTCAATAGCCCCTCCAGTCCAACACTCTGTGTCACACAGTGGCCAAAATGCAGGGGCCATCAGGAGGCCCACCAGCAGGGCCAGAACTCTAGAAGCCCTCCCACTCTTGCCCCCCAAGCAGCAAGAATATAGAGCATCACTGCCACAGACATAAGGACATAAGGGAAGCCAGCGTTGGATCAGGCCAACGGCCCATCCAGTCCAACACTCTGGGTCACACCGTGGCCAAAAATGCCAGGTGCCATCAGGAGGTCCACCAGCGGGGCCGGGGCCCTAGAAGCCCCCCCCCTGTTCCCCCCCCCCCCAAGCACCAAGGAGACAGAGAAAATAAAGGGAGGCCAGCAAAGGGTGGGGGGAGGGGGAGGTGAACTGCGTATCTCCTCCAGGGGGCGTGCTTTCCCCCTCTCTCTCTCACCGTCTCACATCTTTCTTCGCAGGGTTGAACGACGAGAATGGACACGGCTAAAAGCAAAGGTACCCTGGCAGATGGACATAGCAGATGTGTGTGTGTGTGTGTGTACGCATGACTGTGCATTTGTGTTTGAAAGAAAGCCTGGGCATTCCCACTTGAGGGGTCCTTGCTTGCACTTTGCATTGCGCACAGGGTTGTCCTTCTTGAGCATGCATCGGTTGAGCATTTTATTTATTTATTTATTTATTTATTTAAATTTCTCCCCCGCCCTCCCCCACGAATGGGCTCAAGGAAGAGCTCCGTCTTACAGGCCCTGCGGAACTGCACAAGGTCCCGCAGGGCCCTGATCTCCTCCGGGAGCTCATTCTACCAGTATGGAGCCACCACCGAGAAGGCCCTGGCCCTGGTTGCAGCAAGCCGGGCCTCCCTAGGGCCTGGGATCACTAAGCGATGTTGTGCCCTGGACCATAGTGCTCTTTGGGGCATATGTGGGGAAAGGTGATCCCTCAGGTATGTCAGACCCTGGCCATATAGGGCTTTAAAGGTAAGAACCAGCACTTTGAAGCGAACCCGGTACGCTATCGGCAGCCAGTGCAGTGCTTTCAGCACAGGCCGGATGTGCTCCCATCTACGGAGACCCACCAACAGCCTGGCCGCAGCATTCTGCACTAGCTGCAGCTTCCAGATTTGCGACAAGGGCAGCCCCATGTAGAGAGCGTTAACAGTAGTCTAGCCTCGAAGTGAGCGTTGCATGGATCACTGTAGCCAGGTCGTCGCAGTCGAGGTAGGGAACCAACTGCCGAATCAGCCTAAGATGGTAAAAGGCCGACCTGGCAGTGGCTGCTACCTGGGCCTCCATAGTTAGGGAGGAATCCAGGAGCACTCCCAAACTCCTAACCTCCGACGCTGGCACCAACGGCGCCCCATCGAAGGTCGGGAGAGGGATCCCCAACCCCGAACCACCCTGACTCAGCCATGTGCTCCGAGGAAGGGGCCTGCTTCCTGCGTGGAAACGATGGCGGGGTTGGGTGGCCAGCTGGACCTGGGACTGTCTTGCATGCCCACGCCTTGGGTGTCGCAGGGTCCCTTCTGCGGTGTCCTCCTTGGATGGGGAAGAACTTATCCGATTGCGTGGAAACGATGGCATTGGAGCCAGTCTCGGCAGAAAAGGGGGTCTTGGGCTCCAGCTCCATGTCTTCGAAAATTCTGTGCTGAGGAAAGGCCGATTCTGTGAACGGCCTGCATTAGAAGCACATCTCCATACAATACAAAGACCTTTATTGGCGTACAAAACCAGTACGATAAGAACTTCGTCGAGCTAAAATTACATCTATAAACCTTAGAGCACACCAGTATTAAGAACAGTCTTGCTACCAAAAATCTTAAACAAAAGTTCAGCCATCTGTGCAAGTCACTTCTGGCGTCTTATCAGCAAGGAGAAACCTGATTGCATTATCAGAATTGACCCTAGACAGCAAGGGCTTCATCAAAAATAGTCGGAGACGTGAACGGAAGGGCCGGCGTCGCAGAGAAGCACATCTCTGTTCTGCATAAACGTTTCACTGCTTCGCATCACGGGGGAGACACCACTCCTGGCCAACAGCTCTAGGTTCTGATGAGAGCGACGTCCCTGACCTTTCCCCAGCCCTGCACTTCCATGCCCTGAGCACCCCGTCTCCCCCCCCCTCCCCGCACCATTTGCGTCCCATTCCTTCCTCGCAGGGAAAGCAGAGACTTCTGTGGGCCTGGCTGGCTGGCTGCCTCTTCTCCGTGCGCCTCTCATCTAGCTGTCGCCTCTCTGCTTCCTGTTCTTCATTCTCGCTTTCTTTTCTCCCTCCAGGATCGGGTGCCGGGATCGGCCTCTCAAGGTGCGTGTCTTTCCTCTCTGCACCTGTCCTTTTCCGGGGGGGGGAGGTCCCCCCCCCATGCCTTGAAAGCGGTCCCTGTTTCCTTCCTGCCACTCTTGCAATCTCTGCTACCCCGGCGTCCTGCTTCCACGTACCTCCCCTGGCCTGTCTGTTTGGGGGTGGGAGGATTGGGGGGGGAGACCCTCATGGGGAGGCAGGAGGTGACAGGTCTGTTCTCTGCCCCCCACCCCCAGGTCGAGAAGATGCAGTCTTGAGCTACGAGACTGTCGTGCAAATGGAAGGTAAGGAGGCCACCGATCTCCATCTCCCTTAACCCCCCCCCCCCACACACACACACAAAAACACACAGAGCTGATACCTTTCGGTATTTATACACTTCCATTAGCAAGGTAAGAAGAAGAACCACATGACTGACTTCCGGACGGGGATCAGGACAAACCAATCAAGAGAGAGAGAGAGTGTGTGTATAGCGATTAACCCCAGCCTCAATTCCCCGCTTTTGGGGGTGTTGGGAAAAGCCCTCAAGTCACGGCTGACTTACAGCAAACCAGTAGAGTTTTCAAGGCAAGAGACGCTCAGAGGCGGTCGACCGTTGCCTGCCTGCAGGGCTCTTTTTGGGCAGGAACGCACAGGAACGGAGGTCCGGCTGGCTGCCGAGTTGGCCACGCCCACC